ATTTACAGAATATACAAAAAAGGATTTAATAACAGAATGTAAATTTTTAGGTTTACTTATTTAGTAATGCTCTTACAGTGTTACTCATGTTTGGACATCAAAGCCCTTTTAAAATAACTAACAAGCAAACACACACAAAAGAAAATTACAGATGCATGGTGATATAGGCGAAAGATGTTGTGAAATATGCATATAAAGTTATTTAATAAGCTTTCTCAGATCACCTGTGTTTTCTATATCTCTGTCAGCAGCTCGCTTCAGAAATGTTTAAATCAGGAACTTCTCCGGTGTCGTAGAGTTGTTGCTTTTTTTTCGCTTCTGAAATCACAGAACAAGTGGTATCAATATGTTTAGCATGAAAGATCAAAACCTCTTTTAATTAACGTAAGTTTATCCCATTTTCAGCTCCATGTAAGTGACGGATCCGTATCCGATTAACTGTACATGTTGATTTCATTAGCTTACTTCCATTCATCCATTGACAAATTGCCAGCAAAACATTTATATAAACAACGCTCATCTACACATAAGATGACATTAAAAGCCCAAACTTTCAGAAAGAAGAGCTCAAGTCTATAACTAGTTAACCTAATAGTTAGCCTTACGGTTGAGATGCTAACGGACTTTTCCCGAAGACACTAAACGTTAACCATTTCTATAAAGTAAATATTCAACGGAAGCGTGTCATTTACATGAAAGAAAGTGTCAGGAACGCTTGTATGTAGTATTTGTGTAACTGTAGAGACTAAACTTACCTGAAATTAGTGAAAAAAACAGTGAGAGACGGGAGTTGCTGCTGACCGTTGAGCTGCCGCTCCGTTTCCAAGTGACTTCTTCCGCTTCCGGTTCAGCGCGCGCTCCCATTAAAGCACGTAGGAGTCACGCAGAATTTATAATATCATATAATATAATAATAGCTTTAGAAATGGTAAACGTGGTGTAGAAATAACATTGACTTTTTTAACGCATGAATATTCGTACACGTGTATCATGAGGAACCATTTTTAAGCTTTAATTTTATGTATTTTTTTAAATATATTTTCAAAATATATTTCAATATATTCAACAGTGCTTCATGTCAAATGTCTAATCTATTTATTACATACATAACATCTGTTTAGACGCAGAAGGTCCTCACAGTAACAGATATTATAGCTTTGAAGCGTTTTAACAAACTTACCGTGACATATTTGAGCTATGAATTTCAATTAGTGCCTTTGCTATCATTTCTGCCTTTTCTTCATCAGATGCTGCTGCCTTTTCCCCCACCTTCATAACAGGATATTTCCATTCTCTTCTGATTCCTCTCATGCTTTTAATCATGCCCCATACCTCTCCCACAGGTGTTGATCTACCGATTTTATTACAAAACTTCTGCCAGCTTTGTCTTTTTGCATTTCGTATAATTTTCCTAACCTTTGCTTGCATTTGTTTATATTTAATTAAGTTTTGAAAATTATGAGTTCTTCTTAATATTCTTAAAGCTTTATTTCTTTCTTCAACAACTGCACTGCATTCATCTGTCCACCAAGGAACCACCTTCCTCTTCATTTGTCCATTACTTTTACTCATTAGCAGCTTCATGCAATACTGTTTTACATTTTTTATCAATCTCCTCAATATCTTCACTTAAATCTATTTTGTCTAATTCACTCTCACAAATAAAACTAAACTTTTCCCAATTAGCACGGTTAAATACTCACTTCCCTATTCTTTTCTCTCGTTGTTTATTTTCCTGTATTAATATTCTACAAAAAACTGGATAATGATCACTCCCCACTGATGTTTCATAAGTGACATCCCACTCACATATCCCTGCTAAATTATTTGACACCAAAGTTAAATCCAATACTGACATATTCCCTGTGTGTACATCCAGTCTGGTCCTTCTCCCATCATTTTTCCATACTATCCTCACTATCCACTATATCAGAATCTCCCCACTCTGGTCCATTCACAACACAGCTGTGCTTACCCGCCACCGCATTCTTCTTTTCATTTGACTTTCCCATTCTTATTATTTTTCCCCTTTTCCGACCTCCAGTTGATAAACATGCTTTTCTTCCAAGATCATCGGTTAAATTTTCGTTCGATTCGTTTAGCTTCTCGTAACCACAGCCCAGCGTGGAGCTTCGGCTAGCTGACCCAGGACAGTTCTCTTCACTAAATTCTATTATATAATCCCGTGTCCTTTAAATAACGCATTAAAAATTGAAAGTTTTTATCCCCTGATTTATTCCCCAAAATGTTCATCAAGTTAAGTTTTTCTTTATTTTCCTTGAGGACATCCATCAGTATCTTTCGTTCCTCTCCGTATCTTGGACACTTCATTATAACATGCTCTACATTTTCCTCCATATTACAATATTCACATTTTCCAGTTTCATGTCTCCCCGTTCTCTTCAACCTGCTATTAAGA